TTGCAGTAGCTACAAGATCGTTTTTTGTTAATTTACAATCATTATCAAACCATTTATGATTTTTATTTCTAGTTTTGTCTGTATTTCTAAATGTTTGCTTCTTAAAGATTCCAGTGGCAGCATGGTTGATAATATCATTAAATGAAGAAGTGGCTTGGTTAATGTTCTCCTGTGTTTTACTGTAACTAGTCTTATTAAAGTTATTAATTAGAAACTGGGTATCAGTCGATTTAAGTTTCATGTGATAGTTGAAAACAGATAACTTATTCCATTTCCATTTTGAAGGAGGCAGGTTTAAATTGTTATTTCTGTCACTCTTTTGCTCCAAATAACCAACTTTGAGTAATGTGGATATTTGACAATGATCAGAGTATATAGTGAAATTATTAACATGAAAGTATTCAAATTCTGAAATAATATCATTGGAGGCAATAGCATAGTCTACTGTACTATTCCCATTCCAGTGATAACAAGAAAATTTTCCACATAAATCACCAGGTAATCTGCCATTTAAGATACAAATATTGCAACTTTTACAAATATCAATCAAATGTTTTCCAAAATTATTTTCCTTGTTATCCATATTACATCTATTTGTATCAGAATCTACAAAATAGTTTGAAGAAACTGGGATATGAATGGAAGTATCATGTTTGACATAATCAGGAAGAAGACCAGTTCGGGAATTAATATCACCCATAATTAGAACTGAACCATTAAAACTATAGCCAGTTATCATTTTTTCCAATTGATCAAAAAAAGACTTTGACTGATTAATTGAATTTTCTGGTGGATTATATATAAAACAAATATACAAATCTTTGTCAATATTAAAGAACTGTTTTTCTAATTTACACCAAATCATATCAGCACTGTTAGAATTAATAATTTTTATGCCTTTTTCTATTGATTTTTTGATGAGGATGGAAACCCCGCATCTCTTATTATTCTTTCGTACAACTGAGTAATCATAGTAACCAGATAAATTTAACATATTCTTGTTCCCAGTAGTAAGCCATGTTTCTCCGAGACCTATGATGTCATGATGATTGATATTTTTGAGGAAATCTGTATCCTGAAGTTTATTTATAATACCCTGGACATTCCAGTAGGAAATAGAAATGGATTTTTGTTTACATTTGCGTGGGATCATGAATTTGTTAATTTAGTTACTATTTATTCAAAACAAATTATTGTACTGGGTAGAGTGATATGTTTCTGATATCTTTGCTCTTTCTCCACTGTAGTATTGAGGATATTTGTTATTTACAGAGCGGCGTATTCTATTTATTCCCAGTTTTGGACCAATAACATCTTTAATATTTCTGACTAATAGAGCTGTACCTCTATCATTAAGATGAACTTCATCAGATAGATGTCTGATAGAAATATTTCTATTGTGTATAAATACCAATTTAGTATTTCCATCACACATGCTTTGCAGTCTTGCGTTTATATTGTTAGCTATGATATTAAAGTTTACTTTATTTCTTCGCGGTAGTATAGATGATACATATATCGTAGCCTCAGGGAATTTCGTTGACACAGATTCAGTTAGACGATTGTACTCTCTCATTATGGCATCTGGAGAAATATTACTATCAATGTCATTTGTGCCAACATGTAAGACAACATTTGTTGTATTTGAAGATTTGACTGACATAATATAGTCTGTAACTTGTGGAACGTTGCTGCCTCTAAGGGTCCTCACATGCGTATTTCTGTATACTCTAGATGGCTTTATATTTTGCAGAATCGAGTCACCGACAATAAGAGTTTCCATCTTCGAATGGGACTTTATCTTTGATGATCTCCACTAATTTGTGTTACTTGCTTGAGTGGTTATGGTGTTATTGACTTGATTTGACTCCTCATTATTAGTTTCATTTATTAGTGGAGTGAAGGGATTTGTTGAAACTAGTGGTGGTGCATTATGGTTGTTCCAAGATTGTTGTTTATTGTCCTCTCCTTCTTTTATTTTAGCTTCAAGATTCTCATTTTCTTTAGTTAATTCGTTTATCTTCGTTTCTGCTAATAATAGTTCCTCTTGTACTCTTTCTTTGTCTTTTTCTGATTTCTTGTGATGTACTTTATATTCACTAGACAGTTTAATTGCTTCATCAGTCTTGTTTTGGGTGTGCTGTATCATTTCTTTCATGTTTAGGATATTGGTGTCTAGCAGATTGATTTTATTCCCAAGTATTTTTATGTCTTCTTTTAATTCATTGGAGCTGTCGTGTGATTTCGACTGAGTAGATTTCTTGAACATATCTTGGGTTTTCTCTGACAATTGTGTAGTAGTTTGTTCATTTGCTTGTTTTGTTGGTTAAGATTTGATTCAACTGATTTCATCCTATCCATCAACTCCCTGGTATTGTGTTCATTTTCGTATTATTCGACAGTATTTATCTTCAATTTGTTGAATTGTTTTGAAACATGTTGGTCAGTGTGTTGCCATTTCATTGG